AAGGGCAGAGAGCGACCGCTGCCAGTGTCTAACGTTGCCTTCGGAAGGCCATAGAGAGAGGAGTCCAGGCAAGCCCCAGGGTCGCTGCAAGAAACCTCGGCGCCACCAGGCCTTCCACCCGGGCCCTGGAGGTTCAACAGAGCAGAGAGTGACCGCTGCCAGTCTAACAAGTCCCAGGGTCGCTGCAAGAAGCAAGCTGCGAGCGCGAAACACCCACAGGACAAGGTTGGGGCAGAGAAAGTAGGCCAGAGCAGGCAGGTGGCAATCGCTTCTCGCTACGCTGTCCCAGGCGCCGCCCCGCCTAGGCATCAGCTAGGCAGGGGTCGGCGGATATCTGCGTTTATGCCATCCTAGAGGTTAAGTGGCGTTCATCAACCCTGTGTGTGTGCTTTAGTTCATACATGTGAAGATATCCACTTGATCGCAAAAGATGTGTCTCCGACTGAACACCCTTTGTGCTGGCTATTGACACACTTTGTGATGTGGATGGTGGATCAAAGAGTAGTCCACACAATCCCACACACACATAGACATACATATGGTTGGATTGTAATAGTCGTTGTAGGGGCAATTCCTAAGTATTGTAGCAGCAGTGCTGAACAATGTGGAGCAACCCAACAAATAGGCATTGCCAGTGGTATCTTGTTTTGGTCTCCGAATCTGATTGGAGAAACTGTCATTATGGTGAAGGTATGTGGAGGTTAATCAAGATTAATGAAATCTTTTCTTGGACATGCAAGCGGGATGAATCACGATTGACAATTTTTTTGTATTGATACTACCACTTGCTGCTGAAGGTCCTTATGTTTTTGTGTTTTTTAAACAACCGTTCGGCATTCCAACTTGCGTTCGGACTCATCGATGCGCGTCTCGGTCGTTTCCGCATCCCAACGAGCGACGGTGACGGCGCCGGAGGAGGGCTCTGCAGGAGCGGAACGACAAGTCGACCGACCCGCCGATCCCGACCCTGAGAAGGAACCAGTCGTAGTTTCATCATGTTTCAACCATTTTTCCCGAAGAACCATCTGGTAAAGCATTGCTCGCGGCAGTGCAATTGCAGTGGAATGAAGTCTTCGTCCATCATGATACATCTGTACCGCCCTAAACATTGTAAGATCACTTGATCAACGCAAATCATAGCAACAAAACCCAACATGTGGCAGCCGCACCGAAACTCGAGAACGCAACAATTGCCGTCCGCAGATGTCCGCACCGTCTTCAAGAACCAACGAAGGAGTCCAGAACTGATTTTGTCCGGACAGGATGTCATCCAAGGTCTTCGTGTCCATTTTTTACCGTTTCTGTTGAACAACGACCTGAAGACCTGAGGATTTCTGGCGGTGGTGATGAAGCACCTGGGCGTCTCAGTGAAGTTGGCTTCTTGAGGCAGCCAACGAGAAGCGTGTCTCAGCACCTGTCCGTCCGCGTGTCTCGAGTGGCCCAACAGGTCACGCAGTTGAAGGTGCAGGGCTTCTGCCCGGTTGGGCAGAAGCGGAAAGGAAGCAAAGACACCATCTTGAGTTGGGGAAACGGGAAACGCATCTTGAAACACCTTGGTGCTTGGCTTGAAACTGATCAGGAAAGAAACCTTTGAACATTACCTTCAAAAGACCCCGACAAGGTATGCGCACACCACTGATTTTTAATCGTGCTAAGAATATTATTTTGAGCCTAGAATAGTCACATGCGCTGATTCTGTCATGTCCGCATGCAGCTTTTCGCCCAACGGCTGGCAACTGTGTTTAAAAGCACGGATTAATACAGGTGACGGCCTATCCGCTTTCCCAAGCAATTTTCCAGAGACCTCAGCCGATGTTTCAGGTGGCAACAGTGCAAGCATTCGAACGGCGTCGCTCTGTAGTTCTTGGGTATTTGGGGTGTCAAACATGTTCAGTGTATATCAAACGCTTGAGATGGGAACGCCATGCAGATTCCCAAGGGCAGAGTGAATTGATTGATGCACCCTAATCACCCTCATTACAACTCCGCCCAACTCCAGACATGCTAGGAGTCATGGACATGAGCTTGTGATGAGCAGAGATTACGGCATTACTACAGCGACCATTTTGCCACGGTAGTTAGTTCTCTTGCAGGAGACATTTCTGGGGTCCATTCAGCGCACATTCGCAGTCCTGCGCTCCTTTTTCCAGTTTCAGTTGGGGTTGTGCACAAGAGATGTCAACACAAGTAGGTTTTGCATGGCCGGATGCTCATGTGAAGCACTTCACCAAGATGTATGGCGCAACCCTACACTCCGTTGAGCCTCAGTCCAAAGCAGCAACATTCAGGTGATGCTGCAGGCTGCAGGATGCGTTTCGGCGTTTCGACATGTTTCCGTCTTGTCACCCAAAGAACCCGCTCATGTCAGTTGTCAAGGGAGACGACATGGCAAGGGCAGGGCTGCAGAAGGATATCGATGGCTGACATTTTGTGATTGATTGTTTGGTGGCACATCTGTTAAAGCAGATGATCTCATACAGTCTTCGTCCATCTCGGACTCGAACGATTCTGCAAATGTACAGATCCAGTGGCTATCGGGCACGTGTTGTAGATGCGTTCAGACCCAAAGGTTTAATGCCCATTCAAGGCAATGGCTTCTGCCCCGACAAGGTGCAAAATGAAAGGCTTCAGATTTCAAGCGGATTGGTCTAAGATGGTTTAAGGTTAATCAGAGGACTTGATTTCATGGGAGGGATGCTAGTGCCTGACCTGAAGACTCGGAACATCTGCTGTCATTCAAGAGGCCGCTTTTCAATCAGGGTTGCCTCCTCTGGTCTGAAAACACTTGCCTACTCCCCTTTCAGCTTCAAAGGCCTTTGAATATCCAGCTGGAGGGATTGGTGGAGAGTCTTTGAGAATCCACACAGAAACTCTTCACATCGTCGGGACACGGTGGCCACCGTCCGTTTTTCGCTTCGCTTTCCTCACACTCCGAGTGGAAGAGATCGGACAACACCAGCGGTTACGTTCCCCGCGGCGGAACCGTCAAACAGATGCTACGGTGTAAGCATATGCTACTCACACGGTGTAAGCATATATGATCATATATATGCTACTTCTGTTGATCAAAACTCCCCTCAATTTCAGCCTGGCTCCGCCAATGTTGGCTCAGAACATTTTTCTGTGCAACACCCACCTGTTGAGTCTTGTGGGGCCCTCAGCGCACGCGGGCTCGTGCCCTCGGGGCTCGCTCCGAATTGGACGATTTGGCATGGTCACCCATCCTAAAGACTTTGCCGGAAGCCAGAATGTCTTTGACACAGTGGTTGGCCGCAACCTCTCGAGGAAGTCCTGGATGGTAATGGCTCAGTGGTAATTGCTCGTCCCTCCCCCTGTCCCGCTGTACCACATGAATTTTGAGGCCTTTTCCTCTTTGGTGACAATGGAACGCCGCTCATTTTTCAGGCGGCAGGGCGTTTTCAGCCTTTTCTTCTCTTGAGAATGCCTGAGCGAAAGTGAACTGTTTCTGCCCGTGCAGCACCTTGTTGAATTCGGATCTCTCAAAACGCCCCACACACCCCAAACTCGCACCCCACCATTCATGGCAGTCACATCTTTTTCTCGTGTTGCTTCTCTCTGTTTCTCGCTGTCAGGCCCGCCGTCGACTTTGATGCCCTGAGCCCCTTGAGTGACAGTGACCATGAGGTGAGAAGATGTGAGCACACAGCAGAGATTTTTCACCCCAAAAGCAGGATAAGAATGCACTTCTGTTTGTCCCGTAACATGTGGGAGTGTTAGCTCTTTCGTTTTTGACTGAGCTTTTGTGTTTGATAAGTACACAGCCTGTAGTCTACAGTCACAATACAGGTCAGTAATGATTCTGCATGCAGATGCGCTATGTACAATTGACACCTGTTGGTGGAACAGTTTATGTTGTATGAGTCACTGTATGAGACACATTCTTGGCAGGAAATCACAAGACTGGGGCAGTCATGTCTGTGCAGCATCTCTGTTTGCAATGCCTAAAGTTGCATGACCAGCACGACATTGTTCTTTTTGCCACCAAGCTGTCCACTCAAACTGGAAACTGCTCTAATACTGTACCGACATGTCGCTTGCAGGTGTTTGCTGATGCTCCGAGGATGGCGGCCTTGATTGGCAGGAAGCGCCAAAGCCAGGCATCGGAAATGCATCTGAGGGTGGCAAAAAGGGAGACAGACCCACTGGTCACAGTGACTAGTGTTTCTTATGTTTGGACACTGGTTTTGTTGTTTTCCCCTTAGATCTCTTAGATGATCTTAGAATATCGTGTAGTTCCCGGGATGGTCTACAGTATAGTCGTCGGAGTCTGGAATAAAACATCGGAAGATGCTCCAAAGAGATCCGTCGTCGGTTTCTCTCCCTGTCGACGGTGGATGGAGATCGGCCAAAGCTCAGTTGGCTCTTTTCTGTGGGCTGTCGGTCTATCACGGCGAGATGGTCCGAGTATGTCTCCACCAAGAGGCAGTTTGTTTTTGTGTTGCTTTGCAAAGTGGGCAGAAGCACTCTAAGGAAACATGTGGATAGAACTGAACATGATAGAAGCTCAGAAAGACACCCACCATGCACTGCACTGCCTTGAAGAATCAGGCAGAATCCACAGCTGCAATCCTTCGCCAAGTGGAGTTGAATTCTCAACAATTTAGGCATCAAATCCTTAACCTGGACCACCGAGTTCCCATCAAGTGGACTCGGAAGTGTTGAAGAAGACCGGACGTGCTTTGAAGATCGAAGGGCTGGGCTTCGCGCTTTTTCCCGAAGACCTTGGAACATGCGATGGGGTGATGGTAAAAGATTGTAAAAGTATCACCTGCGATCAACTGCCGATCATGGAGGGCAAAAAGTTTGGCCCACCTCTGGACTTAAGTTTGAATTTTTGGTCAAGAAGCCACCTGGTCACCCAAACAGCTCAAAGCAGAGTGTAACCAGGTGACTGGAAAGGCTGGCAAAGCTCTTTTTGTTGGTATGTTCAAGGGTTCCGGGGCCGGGCATTCCATCACTGCGAGGCACAGCCAGAAGTCAAGCCAGCCAGGCACGTATCGGCCAGAGCCTTTTGAATGGATTTGATTGGAAAGTTCGCCAGCCGCCAGCTGTTGAATGTGTTGCTGACAGGCTTGGAATAAAGAGCACCATCCTGTCTTCTTATCAAATCTAAGTAAATAAGAGATTCTATTGGGGTGCCGAGCTTCTTATTACAGCGCGACATGGTAGGATTGGTGGCTGCAAGGGCAGTGAAACCGAAGGCTTCTCGCTGCCGATGCTTCGGCAGGAGCGTGAAGGAGCGTGAAGCCTGGGCTGATCTGCAGACCGATGATGAGGACCTTGGATCTGATCTGACGTGGATCCTCTTTTCTATTTCTTTTCTCTTAGCCTACTAGCCGACTCCTACTTAATTTAGTAGGCGCCTACTTAATGAACTAAGGGAGTAGTTCGCTACTAGCAATAGGAAGCTCCTAGGTAGGATGCAGGACACCGCTCGCACTAACGATTTGGTTCCTACAGATTTTTATGGAAACTTAACTCGCGGTCATGTATCAATGTAAGTTTTGAACTGTTCGCGTCAGTCTGTCCCTATAATCGGTGTTTTTTGGGTTTTGTGTTGTTCCTTTTCCCAACGGCTGCCGAACTATATGGGTAATGCGGCATGCCCCCAATTGTACTGTCAGTTACTAACTCTAGTGATCCGCGTGCGATGCTTGCTGGCAACAAGGAACTGTTCCACAAGTATCTAATAGCTTCTTGTTACTAATGGCCTCCGACCCTCTAGCGATGGCCTCCACCTAGTAGCTTCTTGTTACGAGTAGCTTCTTGTTACTAGTAGTATGGCCAGGAGCTACTAGTAGCTTCTTGCTCCTGGTAGCGATGCCCTTTGCTACTAGTCTTCTCAAGGTCAACAACTCATGGTAATTGTAGGTCTACGGCTACGGTTGGTCCAGTATTCTATTGGTTGCACCCAATAAGCTGATTGTATACTGCTATAACACTACTGGCTGAGTTGTAGATGGTTGTAGTTTCGAAAATTTCCTGGTTTGGGTCTTCTTTTTGGTATTCCATGGTATTCCTACGACTGCCACAGATTGCCCTCCATCTTGACTGGGGATGCTACTTGACCTTTCACCGCTTTCGCAAGGACAACTTCCCGAGCTGGGAGCCTAAGATGCGTGAGGCAGGTGGGTGAAGGGAGCTGCCGGTGGAAGAGTGGAACGGTCCCAACGGTCCCGGTGGACAGAGTATTGACCAAGCAACTTGGTCTACTAGCGTCCTTGCTCCGTTCGTAGCGATGCCAGGAGCCCCGAACGTAGCTTCTTACTCCTTGGTGCAATCTCTAAGTTGAGTGATATTTGCTGCGGCGTTCCTTTTTATGTTGGAAGAATTGACCTCGGCTGCCAGCTTGTAGCGGCTGTAGCTGCCGTATCTTGTGCTCACCCGCAAGCGCTTCACCTTTCAACACATGGAATGCGGCAACCTTTCTTGCCTTTCGTGATTGAGCACTCTCTTCTCCAGGCACCAAGCGTGGCAGTGACGCAAGGCGTGGGGGGGGGGGGCAGCTTTGACACCTTTCAGTCCAGGCGCGGCGAAACCGCAAATCGCCAGGGCTTCGCTGGGATCCACTTGGCCTTGAGGGGGAATGGCCCCTTGGCGCGAGGCGTGAAGCACGTGTGGTGCCGATTTAGGGGGAATGTGGCGGAGTCTGGAGATGAAGGCAATGAGACCTACAAAAACGGAAAAATATAGCCTGGCCTGCTGGCCTAACGTAGCCTTTCTTTTGACAGGCATGTTTGACAATTGAGAAACGCATGGGATTGAATTATTTCTTGATGTTTTCTTCTTCTTCTTCTTCTTGTTTGGCCAGCACTGAGTTCAGAATGGGCATCTCCTGCCTTCAACTGCCGAAACCCAGGTCCCCAGTCTCTGATCTTCTGTTCAACAAGATGGCGGTGGAGAAGCAGAATGACCTGCAGAGCAATGGCACTGTGTTTGACAAGTGGCGGCTGTTCTGCAGCGTCTGTAGCGATTCAACTGGAACGGGAGCATGTTTCCCCCAACTTCTCTTGGGCTTTTGATTCAGAACTCCAGCATTCATTTCGCCTCAGGTTCACACAAATCAACTTAAAACCTTGGAGCGTCCCACCTCCTTCCCCCCAAATCCCTCCTTTGGTCGCCCATAAATCCTCTCGAAGATCTGCAGCTTGGAACGGTGCCTGCCCTGAACACCGAAACGAACCGGAGCTTCGTCGCCGTTCGGTGTGATTCGCCAAGCGCAGCCCCAGACTCGTCGCCGGTGGGGCGCGATTCGCTTGGCTGACTCCAGGAGTGTTCGATTTTCACCCACCATCTGAGGTCTTGGAGCACCACAGCCACAGAGGTGGATGCACTTCCCCCCCTCCAAGAGGACCGCTGTAGAGCCGTTGGTCGACCAACGGACCCTGTAGCGCACAACTCTGGGATGTCGGTTGGTGAAAGCCAAGAACTTTCCATAAAGACCGGAGCCCCTTCATCCATACTAATTATAGTAGCACAAAGTTCTGTAGTAGTAGTAGTAGTAGTAGTAGTAGTAGTAGTAGTAGTAGTACCTTCACATTTTGGATATGCCGACCATGCCTTGGTGCACAGCGCACACCCCTTCTCAGGAATGCCCAAGGATTCGAAGGTTCCTGAAAGCCCGCTGCAGGGCGCAGATTTTGACAGTTTGCACCCAGCGCAAAAAACGGTTTAAGAAGGAGAAGGTAATTTGTTCCAATACCAATTGGAGAAGAACCCAAAGGAAAAACACAAAATCAAAAAGAAAACTCAACAACATCCACATCCTTTTGGGCGACCGCCACACGTCCACGAAGCACAGCAATGTCTCTTCCGACACTGTCGGAGGTTGTTAGTCAAGGCCAAGGCAGCCTTGTCCAAACTTGCTTCAGCAGCACCGAGTTCATCCCCAATCTTTTTCAGCGTGTTGCAGGAGAATGCAGGAGATACTATCCTGAGACATGCTATGTCATTACTTCAGCAGTAGTGCTTATGTAGTATATCCTTCATCAATACACAATAGAATGAACAATGCCACCAAATCAATAATAAACCATCAAAAAATAATACATATATTGCGCAATTTGGGTGGCCACCATCTCTCCGCCTTCGGTTTGTTTACCCAGATGACCCGGTTGTAGACTCGCGAGGAGTCTTCGCCGAGCTCACGTAGCAAGGAGAGACGCAGCCTGTGGTCTTGGAGGGAAGTCGGATTAACAGATTCTGATTGTAGTTCAAGTAAGTCTTACGTTGAAAAACATTTGGACCTCAAACGCACCGTTGTTTCGTGCCCATGAGATACTTCGGTGTCAGACCTGTTGAGATACTTCTCGGAGTTTGTTTGAGCAGGTGCACTTGTTGGAACTCCAGAAGACAACGACGCGAATGAGAGGGTGCAGCATCCTTAAGTAGTGATAGTCTTAGTGGAGCTACTTACTGTATCTGTCCGGTGTGGATGTATGGAAGCTATCGGTGACAGCGAGGGAAGATGCGTTTTGATGCGTTTTGTAACTAGCAGTTTCGAACTCAGAACATTGGATGTTGAGCACATACTTGGAATGTCAACCAGATGTTCTCAACATCGGATAGCCGGGATGTCTTCGTCCGGTCGCTGCCCTTCGTCTACCTTTTTACCCTTCGTCCGGTCTGTAGGACTGGTCGTTCCGGATCCAGGGGCCTCATTAAGTCCGAAAGAGGCCTTTCATGCGGGCATGGATACTGTATACTCGTTTGGTTACCGTAGTTCGCTCAGGCAACTCCCTCCGAAATCGGGGCCTTGGTCTCCGGAGACCCCTGAATCCATTGATCGAGTCCATCGAGTGAGTCCTCGTCGAGTCCTCGTCGAGTCCTCGTCAGACCAGCGATGCCGAGAGCGAGGTCGGAAGAGGGGCGGTCGGGGCTTTTGGTGTTTCGAACGAGGGAGGTTTTGAGAGATGAAACATGATTCGATGACACGTGGTGTTTTCTTCCACCAGGTGGATGTGTGAGATGATGTGAGATGATTAGGTATCCGATTTTTAGGTATAGAAGCTTTGTTTTCGCTTCAGAGGCTTTTAGATGCTTTTAGATCTTTTTGTCTCCCGAGTGCAGTACAGTACTCTCTTCAGAATGACATTCTCTTTGACTCGATCCCTCCCGTTTTCAGCGCTGAATTCTCCTTTTGACACTCTTCCGGTGCTGGGAGGGCAGGACGAGAATTCGCCCTCGCCCGCAGGCTGCGCAGGCGTCCCAAAGTGAACAGCTGTCGGGGGCCTCAGAGGGAGGATCACCACCACAATTCAGCTAGCAGCAGCTAGCAGCTATTTCGACCTTGCTTTCTTCCCTGATCAAATATCATGAAGCTTTTTTTCACCAGGTGACTGTGCCGAAGCTGAACAACCTAAACAACATGTTTACCGAACCATGTGATCAAAACGCCTATGATTCATTTTCCACAAATTGCAAACACCGGCCAGGCTAAAGGATTCAGTGGGAGGTTCACCCAGGATGTCATTAAGAAGTGCAGTCATCCTCTCCAGGCCATCCCAAGCGCCACAGAACCAGCTGCGGACTGCGCAGCTGCCGATCCCTTCGCAGATGCTGCAAATGTCGGTGCCTTTGCCCCCGCAACTGCAACTGCAGCAGGTTGCCGTGATGCCAACGCAGGCTCGGCCCGGCCCCACGGCTTGCCGGGTTGGCTCGCCGCGGCTTTGCGCCGCCGAACGTGTCGGACGCCGTGGACCGTTGGGACGCTGCACCGGACGCTGTCATCCCCTTCGGTGTCGGGACGGGCGGTTTCTGTGACGGGTGGTTTCTGTCGGTTTCCGAGCCCACCATCTTGGAGTGGGTCTTCTTTTTTGGGGGGATTGACCGACAAAGTGGTGGCCCTGGCTTCGAAGTACTAGTAATCTGTCGTTTTTGGAGAAGCGGAGGAGGCGCGCTGCCACATGTCGCGAGGGATTTCCAAAGGCGAGGGCGAGGGTTTTTCTTTGGCCGCATGCAAACGGAGAGGTTCACGGACTCTTTCTGCAGCAACTCCATGACTGACCCAGATTGAGCCATGTCAGCGTGAACACACCATCAGAGTTTGGAGGCATAATGGCCACAAGCAAATATCTTCCGTTTGAAGGATGAAGGCATAGCATACCCTCATTCTTCTGTCTTCACGGGCTCCCGGTGGATTCGCTTCTTGCAAGCTGCACTCCGCCTGGACGCAGGCACCTCAGCAAATGATGGTGCCAGTTCAGATGCCCATGGGCATGGGCGGCATGGGCATGTTGCCCATCATCATGCAGCTGCTTGGCTTTCACATGCTTGTGACAGCGTGTGAAGGGCAGCCAGTGGTGGGAGGTGACATGATTTCATGTGTCAGCCACTCATGGAACATCAAGGGATGGATGGGTTTGGAAGGAAAAGCAATGTGAAGCAAGGGGTAAGAGTCAGATGCTTTAGTGAATTTTTGCTGTTCCCAACTCCAGACTGTCTCCTTTTTGTAGACCTTCACAACCAGACATATGGTGAGAACATCCTTCTTTTGTTTGTGACTATGAAACAAGTGCACCTTGCACAAAGGTGGAAGCTTGGCGTAACTTGATGCCTTGTTTGAACATTTGGAAGGGATCGATATATAGCATTATATAGCCATCACACTTTTGTGTGCAATGTGACCTGTTCTTTAGCAATTTCGACTGCATTGCACGCCATGTTTACTTTGAATGCTTGTTTCGCCTTCAGTGCAATCTTCGGATTTGTATTTGCTGTCACTGCAAGAGGATTCAGACCTGATGCAGTGACACATATGATGTAGTTGATACGTATTTGCTAGTCTCCCAATCTGCCCGTGCCACTGCCGCATTTTGCTGGACAAATGCTGGTCAGTTGGAACTGTCATTGAGTCATTGGTCAAAACCCAGATCTCCAATCAACACCATGAACCGATGTCGCTCCAAAGACGGATGCTCAGGGACCGTCCAAAGCACCAGGCTTTTCCAGTCCAACCGCGCACACGATGCTGGGCGAACGGCTCAGGATGCCGCAGATGCAAACGGTGCCGAACTCCATGCCGAACGCGATGCCATCGGTGCAAAACTCCGTGGCGAGCGCCGCTTGGTGGCCTGAAAGATGTCCAGGTTGGACGGGCTTCTAAGAATGGACATGGCATTGAAAGTTGGAGGGACCTGGTTTCCATGGTCTCCATGAATGCATTTTTTCGTTTTTGTCTCCTGAATGGTGATGTCGAGAAGCATGCTTAGCATGTCTTCTAACTTTGTTTGCCATGTTTAGAGAGAATCTGCCAAGTTTGTCCGTCCATTTAGCCATCCTATTTTTGATTGATGTCCTACTACAGGTTTCATTTGTTCAGTTGCTTTCTCAGCTTCCTTCTTCCTGATGTTCCACAACTCCACAAGTGGGCCCGCCAGTTCAGTACGTTTTGTTCTCTAGATTCTGGAGCATTCAAGTTTGGGAGCACCAGTGAAGGTTGATAGCACTTAGCTGCACTTCTTCAGGTTGATAGTACGTTGGGTTAGGCTCCGAACGCTCGGCATTTTGCCGAACGGTCCATCGATCCGGCTTTCTGGGGGCGTCCATGCCCTCCGAACGACCGAACGACTGACGGCGGCAGTGTTTGGCGCCTCGGTGGTTAATGACTTTTTGGGTCAGAACTGAACTGAATCGGCTCCCAGGATTTGGAGGATTTTTTCGGACCTTTCACTGATTTTGTGGGCCATTCCGGATTTTGGACCTGTACATTTGGGGGGCCTCTGACACCACTTTACACCCAGCCCCCCATGGCGGTCAGAGGCCACCATTCTTTTTTGATTTCGACGGGTGGGGCGACGGTGCGGGTGTGGGATGGTTCTTGAGGGCATCACCCGTCAGATTGGATTGCGTAGTTGATGTGAACCAGATCCAGTAATGTTGGGTCTTGAAGGGTATAAATATAAACCGTTCCCGCCTCCGAGCAAAGAATCGAGGGTGTCTGAATAGTATCAAGGCCACCAAAACAATTATATATATAGTTGTATTGCTAGCAGCAGCAGTGGTGGTGGTAGTAGTGGTGGTAGTAGTAGTAGTAGTAGCAGGAGTGGTGGTGGTGGTGGTGGTGGTAGTTTTCAGGTCGGAGTTCCATGAATCAAGCAAAACTCAGAAGAGTTAAGTAAGGATCTTTAATGGCAGCAATAGGGGAACAAAGTAGTTAGAACATGCATGTTTTAAACATTTTTCCTAAGGTTCCAAGTTTACTTATTGATTTCACCCCCTAAGCAACGTAAGCAATTGGTATTGTTCACGTCCCCGACCCTTGAAAATTTGTTTGGAGCATTGACATCAGTGAGTTTTAGCCAGGGTTTTTGGAAGAGGTTTTCAGGTCAGAGTTCCGTGAATTAGTCAAGCAAACTCAGTAGTATTAGTAGTAGTAGTAGTAGTAGTAGTCGTGGTGGTGGTGGTAGTAGCAGCAGCAGTAGTAGTGGTAGGTAGTTTGTAGTCGTAGTAGTTGGACCAGGACCCCTGCCACTCCATGGAGTTTTCTCACGACTTCAATTTTTTGTTGCGTGTTGTCTGTTGTCCAAGTGTTTCTCTCTTGTCAAAGTCTTTTCTTGCGTGTTGTCTCTCTTTCCTTTCCGTGCGCTCATCAGTCCCTGGCTTCTATAACCAAACACATGCAAAAACTTCATACCAAGGGCATACCACTTCTACACTACACTACCCACCTCGGTTGGTATCTGAGTGGGTGGGGATGTTAATGTTCGCTTCTAGTGCACACCCATTGTACATTCCGTTACATTACATACTCTTCTACGCTACGCCGCTACGCTATGCTATGCTATGCTACGCTATGCTACTGAGTTTGAGTTGGGTGGGGTGGGATGGGTGGGGATGAAGCGCGCACCCATGGTACAATTCGTTACTCAAAATGACCAAAGCTACTTCATATTTTGATCCTAAGTGCACTCATTCTTTGACTCTTCTCTTTCAGCGAGTCTTCTTTGCCATTTAGCAAGGCTCGTTCAACAAGTCATTTGGCATACATTGTCAAAGGAATGTTCGCCACATGTACTGCATCACCAACTTGATGCCATGACCATGGCCAGTTCTTCTAGGAAATCATCCTGGAAACAACGTTAACATCCCCAACCATCCCACCCACTCAAAGTCAGTAGCATAGCGCATAAGAGTATCTTGGGTGTGCTCCTAGAAGCCAATGTTAACATCCCCATTCATCCCACCCCACCCAACTCAAAGTCAGTAGCATAGCGTAGTGTAGCGTAGAAGAGTCATTTATCTGAAGACAATGTTCCTTTTGCGCCACGGCACAATAGAGGTCGGGCTTCTAGTAGCTAAACAAGTATTTTTTAACGGCAACAATAGCAGAAAACTAGAAAATACACAAATGGGAGTCGTTCTAAAACCCACATAACAGAATTTAGTAGCACGACTCTTTTGTTGATAGTAGCTAGTCTAAAACCTGCATCGCGCAAGGCCGGCGCAAGGTTTTGCGCATGGACTACTTACTAGTTACCCGAATTTCTATGAAAACTTACTAGCTTGTGCTTTGTGGAGTGAAACCAAGATTTGAGTTTTTAACGCTTTCAGGCTTCAAGTATGCTTCATAATGTTTTAGCCATATGCTTCGGAATGTGGCCAAAACAGGATCGAAATCCGCGCAAGGTTCGCGCAAGATCCGTGCAAGCCCGAATGTATGTAGAACTGGACTGGCCATGTCGACCAGCTGTTTCGCATAGTGTTTGAAAAAAGGAAGCTGCAATGCAGCAAACAAACACACACTGGGAAGGTCGAGAAATGGGTCGTTAGCCCCTTGCCCTGTGGTTTGTAAACTCTCTGCCTGTGACAGCGGTTTACATACACATACACACCCACGAAAACAGGTAAACTGAAAAACTTAATTGAATAGAACATGTAGTTTTACTGTGTTCGCGCAAGATCCGTGCAAGATTCGCCCAAGGCCGGCGCAAGGATAGTTTTTCAGGAACATGTATGTTGAACATCCCCCAAATATTTACATAAAGCACACTGCGTTAATTATATTAATATTTTTCCCCCATTAAACTATTTAGGGTGTGGGAATAATTCTGTGACAAGTTCTTATTATCCCCTCGTACTAATTAGGATCCGGCATTATGAGAGGATTCGTGAGAAGCTAGGATAGTGGTGAGTTACCGTTTTCATACGTTGTAAGGTCCCAGGTGGTTTCAGCTTTTGTTTAGCATGACAAATCCGTGAAATATAGGATTATGCCGTGTCACCCGCCTCTTCCATCCATTCTTCTTGGATCTTTCTGATTTCTGGAAGACACCTTCACCTCTCAGTGGCACAAGGCATCCACCTTCACCTCAGGCCAGAGATAGTACTGCGGACGGCTCGTTCGAATGGTGGGATGCGAACCTATTGAGAGCCATTGATGTATATGATCTCTTGATCCTTTCAAATTGAAACAGATCAACACTCAGAAAAAGAGACCATATAAACTCAGAAACATCAAGAGATCAAGAAACTTGAGTTTTGTTATACACGATCAAGAAATCAAAACTCAGAAACTCTGCTGTTGATGAAAGGTCTTTTCTGCAAACTGTCAGCCACTTCTCTCAGCCACGAACCTTTTGCCCGAGCACCTCATCAACCTTGAGGACTCTTCAATGAAAGGATCCGCCGCTAAACAGTTTGAACCAGCGGTCCAATGAGTGTTGGCTGTTTGCTGCATGTGACATTGTTGTTTGTTAGAGCTTAATGGATCTTCCAGTGGAAACATGCACCTTTCGTTGAGCAACGCATGTTGAATCCCAACAGGACCCAAACCGTTTTCATTCGTCAATGGCGAACCAAATCGATCGTGCCGAACGCGGGCTCTCGAGCTCAGCCCATCCCCCGGAGCCAACTTCAGACATCGGAAGCATCGGAAGCAGACAGCGGGATCAGTCGGACAAACAGCGCGATCGATCTTGTTGGGTGCGCAGGGTCTGAGCTGGCAAGATTAGAACGTCCCAGAACGCATGCTGTTTCGTGTGATGGATAGGAAAGCTCTATTTTGGGGGATTGGATTGGACTCGTGACACGACCGTGCCTGACAGCAGCTCCTGCTTGACCCCCCAACCAGGCCCTCAAGGCCCTGCCTTTGGCTGCGCGCACCGCTTTCACCCGAAGAACTCCAGCATGGGTGTCCTCTCAGCAGATGCGCGAAGCTTCACAAAGCGATACAATAAGGACCGAGCGGCGTTTGGAGGTTTTGGAGGTCCATGGATTGTTTGTGTTTGCGAACATCAAGAAGTGGAAGGACTGGACGGACATATGGAAAGAGATTGAACGAATTGGAACGATAGTTCTGCGTGAACTTTGCAGGATTGGTGGTTCATTCTTGTGTGCTATGTGCACAGTTTTGTGTTAAGTTTGAGTTGGAGGCAGGTTGCGGGGTTGAGGGCTGCTATGTCAATCTGGGACAACATGGTACAACCGCAAATCAGCTATTAGAATCACCTGGAGCGGCATAGTGTCCCAGTGCTGGTCAACCACCGTTTTCCGCGGCACCTGGTCACCTGGCTCTCCAGGGGCGCTTGAGCATCATCTCCGAGAACAAGGTGCACTTCAAAGGCACTGTGCGATATGCCGCGCCTCGCTCGCGGTAAGGCGTGGTTTTAAGATGTGTTATAACGCAGGGAGACTTTCCAAGTTCTCCTCATGGCGAAGTATGCAGTAACCCTGAAACGTGCATGTGATGAAGGACACGAGAACTGGTGGGGATATGCGAGTTTCACTTTTTACTCATTTTACTCAACTCAGCCTTGGCTGGATTTTTCACAGTGATCGTTCGAGCTTCGTGTGGTGCCCCGATCAAGGTGCAATTTACCGAGGGAGAGCTGTGCAGTGCTGACGGAGCTGCTTGGCCTAAAGACGGCCAAAGCAGTCATTTCTGGAGCGGCAAAGAAGCAGTGGGGGGATGGTCTTAAGATGTCTTAAGCAAGACAGCTGGACACGTGAGTGAGTCCAAGAACCTTTGAGGTGGAATCCAGGTGGAACCTGTTTGGCAATGTGTTAATGGTTTCACACGTTTTGCTGACTTTTGCCGTACCTAGGACGAATCACCCACCATGGTTTCCACAGCTTGCGGAAACTCCCTCGACAAACTCTGAGGTGGGCTTCATCCTCTCGTCGGACTTGCCTTGCACGCGAAACATCCAAAAGATCATTTCGATCTTCGTGAATCGAACTGGCCGCATTTGTCACCTGGATGAAAGAACCAGCGACAGGAGCGACGAGCATCGTGCCGAGTGACGTTGTTCCTGGGAGTCCTCGTCCGGTGAAACACCGCCTGTCCGACGCTCGTCCGAGCGATTCCAAGGCGTTCGCGTGCACGATGAGGTGGAGCGCTGCCCTCAACATGTGAAGTGCCTGGAAATTGGAGATTGGCTCGAGGTGAGGTTCGGCATGGGTCGACTTCAGGATTGAGGAGGATCTTGTGATGATATGACCAGTCTTGCAACAGCCCTTGGACACGTCGTCGAGGATTTGTGGTTCCCTACCATTGACGGAAAGGACAAGCACGCAGCTAGGATAGGGGCCTTAAATGGCATTTACATAATGTATAATTACATTGCTTTGTGTATGCCAGGTCAACCGTGGCAACCTACATAGTTTCTGCGGGATTTCAACCAAACCCATGGAGTGCATGCTTTCTTTGAGCCTCTCCCTCCCGTGAAAGCATGTCACATGTCGGAATGAACCCACCACGGACGCTACGCAGCGATGTCCAAATTGCCAGGTTGCTGCGGATCTGGAGCAACAAACGGTCAGCTTCACTGTTTGGCCACAGGCGTCAGCTGCCTGTCACAGCTTTTGGGCACGAGTATGTGCGAGTATCTAAGAGTGATGTTCCACAAAGTTCCACAAAAACAATCTGACTAAGTTAAAGGTGTTCGATTTGCTTGGTCTAATGTGGTGTAATTGCTTTCTCGGATCCTTGGCTGGACCCTCCATGCCTGATACCATCCAACCCCCCGTGAAACACGACGTTTTCCTCGGTGTTCAGGACAATTCTGAGCCATCCTCCGCCACTGTGCACTTCAAGGAGATCTTGCAGGAGGCCTTTTCCATGGATGATCAACTTTCATCACCACAGCATACCTTCAAACGACGGCAGTGGCAGCAGAAAACGAAGAAAACAGTTATTCTTGTTCAAAAGACTTTCCCTTTTGAGAAGGATGCGACATTCACTTTTGAGAAACGAATCTAGCAATGTTATATTTGTATACACGCTGTGCACTTTTACACACAGCAAACTCAAGGTACAGTTGCCTCATCGAGCCATTTGTGTGGCAAGCAAGAGTTGAAAGGGCAATTCTAATTGTGCAAAACAACTGCCACAGTTTCCAGCAATAGTGTATCATCCGTTCATCCTTGTTGTAGCCACCAAATTGATTGAGCCGCCGCAGAGCCAGCACTTCATTCCACAACTGTAAACAATTTGTATTGATGTAGTCTCCAGGGTCCGAATCAGTAGATGTCAGTAGATGTCTAATTCATTAATTGGATATGGCAGTAGATGTGGCTGTTTTTCAGGGGTCCGAATCGGTGGCTGTTAGATGTCGCCAGGCACGCGGCCGGCTGCATGGTGTGCCACGAAACCCTTGCGGTGGCGTGGCCAATAGTTGCCAACGCGCGCACTCTTGTACTCACCCCCATAGGGGCAATCCCTGTTGTAGCAGTGGTGGAGGGACTAAGGCTAAGGTCTTTCTCAGACCTTCCAGATGGACTGCTGCAATTCCAGATTGATTCACTTGCTGCTGATCTACTTAAGAAAATCCAGACCCCAAAAGACGTCGAGCCCATTCTTTGGCAACACATCAACACATCTAGATAGACATTTCTGGAAATGGACACCGACATAGTGAAATGGACCACTGTCCCAGGATGTTTCAGGACCTCGTGAACTGAGGATTTTTGGCCGTGGTGATGAAGCACTTGGGTGTCTCAGTGAAGTTGGCCTCCTAAGGCGCCGACCTGAGGAGCAGAGACACAAGAATTCTCGCTTTTGGGCGGTCACGCGTGAAGAAGCGCCCGGAATGGCGGAGCGAGGTGGGTGTGAGTGGGTGTTTCGGTGGGTGCATGGGTGTGTGCCGTTTCCCTCCGCCACTTTCAGCCGCTGAGCTGCCGTGAGCTGCCGTTGCGATTCTGCAGATGCGCATAAACCATTTGTTAAAACACCTACAAGTTCTTGGACTTTTCGCCTTGCGGTTCTCCACCTTCCTTCCACTTGGGAATTGAATAACTGAAAACCAATGTCAGAGTGTGTGTTGGTTGTTTGCGTCGTGGGTTGGGTGTGCGCTTGCTTTAGGGTGGGTGGGCGGGTGGGTCGGTTGTTGCGGTGCGTAGGTGGCGTTGCTTTCCGAGGCTGTGGCTGGGGGCTGCGGCCGCTCAACTGCTGATAGCATCATGGCAATCATTGCCTCGGGACTTGCAAAGGATATCAGGATAATTAGCTGCTGGAGGGCAGGTCTTCAACCCACGCTCTCACATTTCGGAGCCAGGCAAGACAAGGTTGGAGTGAGAGCCATGCCGCCTCATAGCTATCGTGGAAAAGGAGAAACACAACTGCAAGAATTTGATAGAATTTGGGCCCAAGCGGCAGCACTTTCCATTGTTTGAGTTGCATGTGTAGACCATCCAAAGACGGCCCTTTTTCATCCGTTTTCCACATTTTCGCCTGACCCCAGATGACATTTTTTAAGGCTCGCCTGTGTTCTTCAGAGGATGCTTCAATACAACAGGTGATCGCCTACAGGTGGCTTTTTCTCGGTCTCAAATTTTCAGCTTTCAGCCGATGTTTCGAGCCAGGCGTGACATGTGCGTCCTTTCATCTACGCTTTGCAGCGCATGCGGTTCCCGTTCTTTTCCCACGTACTGGCGTACTGAAAACCAGATGCGAAAGACCGAACGGAGCACTAAGCAGATTTCAGGGAGCAAAGTGAAGTGACTTGCGTACCCTCATTGCAATATATACGTTCATCAAAGTGGTCGTAGACGTCAGCTTGTGAAGAGCAGAGATTACAACATTATCAATGATCAACATTGCAGCAACCATTTTGCCATGTGGCTCTCTCAAAGGAGACATCGCTGAATCAAAATAGCACATTTCAGTGCAGGCTCGAAGTTCTGCGCTCCTTTTTCCAGTTAGGGTTGCGCATGGGGGTGTTCAAACACCTCAGGTTTGCACATTACTTTTGCACACTTCAGATGAACCCAGGGGCGCGACCCTACGTTTAATCTCAGTAGCAACATTTAGGTGCTGCAGGTGTTTCGATGTGAGGCAGTGGCAGCTTGCCGACGCTAAGCGGAACAGACTATAGTGATTCTCGCGTTTGATTGAACCCGATCCGCAGCTTTGTTTAAAGCCCGGCTGGGTGCCAAGCGCGGAAATCACCCTGTCAGATGCTCATGCCGCTTGGGGCGACACGGGGATAGAGAGCTGTTTGGCGAATCTATCCAATCCCTTTAGGCACATCTGTAAGGGCAGATGAGCTCAATCTCGGTCCATTTTGGACCCGAACGATTCTGCGAATGTACAGAACCAGTGGCTACCGGACACATGTTGCAGATGCGTTCAGACCCGGTTTAATGCCCATTCAAGGCAATGGCTTCTGCTCCAACAAGGTGCAAAAGCAGCGGCTTTGGACCACGGGTTGGGTGAAGTCGCTGTTGGTTAGGTCCACGCCTGAGAGTCTAGCTGCAAGAAGTGGTCCACAAGGGTAGTCTTTGAATACTCGTCACAGGTGGCGAACTCCCAGGCTTCAAAAGGCCTTTGAATGCTTGTTCAGCGGGGGATTTCTACAAATTGAGCTCTCTAATTGCTTTTGGAGGAGAGACTCCCTGAGAAGAAAAACCAGTGAGGACATTCGTCAGAGGGTGAAGCGAATCCGTCAAAAGGTCCTTCAAGTCTTCGGCACCAGTCCATTCTCTTTCTCTTTAGGCCCTCTGCATCGCGTTGCTTTGTCACATTCAGAGAGTCTCGGAAAGCAGGCGTTTGTACTGCAGACCGATACGTATGCAAAACGTTGCAAAACAATTAAAGTCCTCATCGATTCCGCAAGGGAACATCCAGAACCGGATCCACTCGATTCATGGAATTTACTTGTTGTATAAGTACAAGTACGGGTCCAAAAGAGCTCTTCCTGCGCTGATTCGGCATCTAGTTTTACTATGGCTGGAGGAGCATGTAGTACATGATTGCTGCAAAACACATCAAAACACACACATAACGGTCAGCCGATCCAGAAAAGTCTGGCTCCGCGGCCCAATCTTTGGCTTACAGCACCATTTGGTTGTGCAAAAACATTCTGGTTGACTCTGTCTCAACCAAAGTCTTGCAGGGCCCTCAGCTCGGAGCGAGCCTCCAGATCAGGTGACCACGACTCTGGACACCTTGAAGCTTTGCAATGATCTACCTGCTGGAAGAGCTCCTTTGTGGGGTGAAACCTAGGCACCCACCAGGCCCTTTTCCATGCTGAACTCCAAATCTTAGAAGGCCAAGATGGCTGAGGAATCTCGTTTCCTCCGACAGGCGTGCCTTTCTCTGACCCGCGTGGTTCGGCTTGGTTCAAGATTGCTAACGAGCGAGAGAGAGAGAGGGCGAACGAGGAACATAAAACCACGTTGCCAGCAATGATCTAATCCCCTGGACTGATTGACCACCCTTCTTCTAATTGCAATGTGTTTGACCCAACTGAGACAGACTCACAAAATCTCACAAAGATGTCTTGGCTTAGATGTGAAGAATTGAATCGTTGACGATCAACTTTTACGTGTCCTCAGATGAGGGATGGTTCTTAATGCACAAGGTTGGACAAACCGAGCTGATGGAAGAATGGTTTTGGGTTATCGCCCATGGTCCCTGGCCTTCACGTCCATATGCGTCCCATCCAAGACTCCAAAGACTCGCTAATCTTCATTAGGATCCCCGTCCCTGGCCATCCCTGGCCATCCCTGGCCATCAAGCCCTCCAGATCCCCCCCACCAAAGAGGAAAACAAGACCTGACCAAACGCCAAGTGATCCCCGAAACAAAGGACCGCCCCTCCCTTCGTTGCCGCCGCCATGGACTCGGCCCGCTCGGTGGGCCGAACGAGGACGCGCACGAGGACGCAGCTCAGTCCCCGGGCGGCCGAGGTGGAGGATTTGGAGCAAGGTGGTCTATGTGGAAAAATTCAAAATTGTATCGATTATCTCATCACTGGTGACTTTGTGGGTTTATTCAAAAGCTGCAAGCGGAGTGTCAGGAATTGCATCAAGCATTATGGAGAGCGATATGACAACTTTGTTGACTGGATTGCGAAGACGGCGAAGGAACAGGAGCACCGAGCCAATGATGCTTCGATGCAACACCCCTTCCCGACGATTCGGATGATCGTCAACAGCAATGCCTTCGAGTTTGTGGGTAATTTGGTGATTTTCTGCAATACCTTTGTGGTGGGCTGGCAAGCGGAGATCTCCCCGAAGAAAGCCACTCAGGCGGAGCAAGACTTGTCCATGTTGTTTGAGAATTTGTTCACCTTCGCCTTCGTTTTTGAACTGAGTCTCTCCACCATGTGCTGGGGCTGGACTTATTTGGTGAAGCGTGAGAACTGGCTGGATGTCTTCCTCGTCTTCCTGGGGGTTTTGACCACTTGGATCTTGGGCCCCTTTGGAATACAGGCGCGCAAAGGAAGGTTCTGCCCGGCTGAAACAAAGAGCCGCAAGACTCAGACATGTGAGTATGAGATAGTATGAGTCCATGTGAGGTGGTTTTCCTGCCGCGCCACTCTTTTGAGCGGCCCTCCCAACAAAGAACAGTGAATTCAAAAACGCCAGTTTGGTTGTTTCACCATGTTCATTGTTCAAAGAGATTGGGCTCCTTAGGTCGGCCCCAATCCTCCAGGTGGGCCCCAAACCACCGCAGATGTTTTTCGACCTGCATTCCAGGTAGATTTTTTGCGGAAGCTCACTGCCTTACGAACCTTGCGCTTGATCCGCCTGGCACGGGCCGTAAGATTCAGACCTGAGTTCAAAGATATGTGGGCCTTGGTGAAAGGCCTCACTGAAGCCGGAGAAACCTTGTTTCTCGAAAAAAGAGAACACAAACACACACACACACACACTGGAGATGAAAAGAGAACAAGAGGTCAACAGGAATCGAGAAGGGATGGTTTTCCCACAGGTTCTGACAGCCTTCAAGCTGTCTGTGGTCTCCAGCTACAGTACCCCAAAAAGCCACAATTTCTTGTTGTGAATTCCATTCTTTCAGTGTTTGAAGCGGCCCAGACGTTTCTGGAGAAGATCCCAAGCGACCCAGAGCAAGCCCTTCGACCCAGAGCAAGCCGTTCTTCTCCTTGAAAACCTGACGGTGGGAGGTTTCATTGATGGTTTCACGGTGTGTCCCTAAGGTTTTGGACCTACGTGATGATTGGCTGCGTACTCTACGTTTTTGCCATTATTGGCACTTCGTTGATTGGCAAAGCAGAAGCCTTTCAGGACAGCGCGCTGGCGCAGGAGAGGCGGAGAAGAAGGGCTTAAGCTTCACCGTGTGGAGAGTTCACCTCAGCGTGGGTCGGAAGCATCCGGTTTTAACCTTCTCGCGGATGACCACTTTGTTTTGACCACTTTCTTTGGACCTCAAAGAGTAGGAACAAGTGCCACGCTAGTAGTAACAAGTGCCTTACTAGTAGGAGCAAGAAGCTACTAGGGGCTCCTGGCCTTACTAGTAGCAACAAGAAGCTATCAGAAACATTGGGGACAGAAGAAACCGACCTTTGACCGACCTTTGAGAGCGATGGATTACTCGTCAGGAGTACTTTGGTGATGTCGCCTTGTCCATGCTCACCTTGTTTCAGCTCATGACTCTGGATTCTTGGACTGGCTTCGCCAGGCCCTTGATGGAGACTTGGAGACATTTTTGTTTCGATGCAATCGAGGGCGGGCAGCGGGCAGAGGGCAGTGCGGGCTGGTCTTAAGATGAGGGAACCTCCAACCTTTGTCTTTTAAAACATCTCAAGGTGCTATTCCATGCTATTCCCATATTGTGAGACAGGCGCAAATATAGAGTCAACCTAAGGAAGTCATACCTATAAAATTTGAAGTTGCATTGAAGCGGGAGGTCCCGGGAGGTGCTGCCCCCGTGTCTATCCCACATGTGAAACTCAGTCATCTTCTGGTACCACTTATTCCTGCACAGCCACCAAATCCAGATCTTTTCATGTCTTCGTCTTCCCTCTGGGGTGTTTCACTACAACTCCAAGTCGAGAGCAGCCAACTGGATGAACTCTGCCACAAATCCCAACAAACGATCACCGCATCATCCCCCAAAAGAAAGAGCTATCTCTCTCTCTCTCTCTCTTCAATCTCCTATCATTCTCATCATGTTATTTTGGAGGAGATTGAAGTGTGGACGGGTGGTTTCTTCATTCTTTTCATCTCGGTGGCCGTCTTTGTGATGCTGAACCTGGTGACGGCGGTGATCGTCGAGAATGCCTTTAGCGACTCCAAAAGCGAGGAGAAGGAGTTGGCTGTACGACTGGAGCGAGAAAAAGAGGAGGAGTTGGAAGATTTGAAACAGTTCTTCCTGCAGTTGGACCCTCGAGGTGGACTCAATTTAGTTCATTTTTTTCACCCGAGGTCTTGTGTTGGATGCGGTTTTCTTTCGGGATTGGCGGCCGGGAGCGAAGTGCATGTTTTTTGGGTTGGGCAGTTATATAATTGTTCTTTTTTTCATGCTGCATTGTTTGGGTCGGGGGCCCTGATCCGTGGATCTAAGGTCGTTAGAGAGGGACCTTGTGTAATTAGACATTTTGGCAGGTCATGTAGACATAGTGTGACTTTGTAGCACAGATGGGTGTACAAGCACATTTGTGCGGAGCGAATAGATACAGATGGTTGTAATTGATCAATGATGTATAATGCATGTGCTCTCGAGGCACAGGCAACCCAATGCGCCCTTGCGCCACCTGCAAGGCCTTGGACAGCAGTGTATGCATAAATAAATACATAAATAAATATATATATACAGATATCCGATATACATTAATATATTGAAGCTGATAGGAGGTCACAGGTCGATTCGTTTGCTCAAAAACACTTCTATCCAAGGACCTGGATGGCAACGGTTCCTTGACGAAACAAGAGTTCTTCAAAGCCACGAAGCAGCGGAAGATCCGTCAGAAGCTTCGTGCCTTAGATATCATGCCCAAGGATATCGATGAACTTTGGGATATTTTGGACGACGGTCAGGGAGAGATGTCTGTGCAGGACTTTCAAGCGTCTATTCGCCGTTTGAGAGGCGAAGCAAAGGCAAAGGACATTTTGCGCTTGTACAAAGAGGTGGGGCAATTCGAATCTTCCGTGGAGGAAGTTGCAGAGCATCTGGAAAAGAGCAGGAGACGTCTTCGCAACCTCCAAGATCAGCTTTCACACTGCAAGGTAGATGTGGTGGCTTTTACTCGAACCCTGGTGAGAGCAAAGGAGGCTGTGAAAATGGCAGCTTCAACTCAGAACATGAGCTGAGTGTTTGATTTTTGGCTTGGCAAAGGTCCAGGCATCTTTTTTGAACCTTTCTTTCTTCCATTGGTTCTGATAGGGTCTTGCGAAGCACGCAGCGATGGTGGAAGACTTGACTTAGTCAGTCATGGCCGTTTCACAACAACAGCCACAGCCGTATCAAGGCTGGTTGTACCCCTAGTTGACGAAAAGTACGGATGATGGCTAAGTACAGACGGTGGCTTGAGAAGTTCGGGTGTTTTTGAGCACACATGCATGACACGCTAAAAGAGCGTCCCCCACAAGGGTTTAGAGGATCGCTTGAGGAACACTAGGGATGTGGACCGATATACCTAGACGACACGAGACCCGCATCTACATGATGCCAAACAATTCAGACCTGCCGCTCGACCAAGGGATTTCTCGGGCCGTTAGAGCCCTTACGTCGCGGCCGACGGTTGGTCGGCTTTTCGAGGGACAACGACCAGGGACAACCAAATTTTCCCCGAAGGTTTGCTCACACTGAGAAGGTTTGCAGAATTTTCTGATTTTTCCAACAAAAAAGCTCACTCTGAAGGTCATCTGCGCATTACATATCATTCTCAGCGTCCATTCGGCCCTGGGGGATGTCTCATGGCCCCCCCAAAACGACCCGCTTGTCCCCTCCTAAACGACTTCAATGCAAACGGTTTGCTAGGAGAATGTTGTGGAATCCAAGAGAATGTGATGACACATGGATGAACCATGATGAAATGTTGTGCAGGCTAGCATCAAAATGCATCAAATACCATGCCTTGTCCATTTCGTGGGAATGACCCATGCAGACAACGAGTCCGAGCTTCGGACAGAAGCTTCGCTTGGTCCTTCCGAGGCTCGAGGCACATTTGACACGCAGATAGTTCCGAAGACAACACCTGTAGCACCCCACAAAAGTATGAACGAAGGGCATATATCGAGGTACCGGATCGATGGTCCACAAGTGGGTGTGGCTTCTTTGTTCTTTTTCTACGACCTTCAAGGGATGTCCAATGGGGTCCCTTAGTAGTGTAGGGGCATGTAGGGGCTTCATGGGGCTTCGATTGGTGACCCCTTTGAAGGTGCTGGTATTTTTTAGTTGGATTCCGGCAGGGTTTTCTCTCCACCTTCGCCTCCGCCTCCTCGTTTGTCAGGGCTGGGCCGAAACGACAGTTCCAAATGTTTTTTTCTTTTTTATTTTTTCCTTTTTTCACATGCTTTCATCAAAGGAAAGGTTTTCTCTAGGTCATGATATGTCATGATCATCTATCAATCTTCATCACGGTTGATCAATGTTAATTGTTGATCAAGCCTGCTTCAAGAAATTTCAAGAATCTCCAACAAAAAGCCACAGGCTCAAAAGGAACAGGTCCCCCTCCTCACCTTCTTTTGCACCAACCACCCCGAAAGATTCTTTGAGCCACGGCTCTTTGAGGTGACCTGGGTCATGGTGCCCGCAAAGGAGCGAGATGCTTTGAGGCCGGGGTCCAACCCAGTCCACCTCGCCTCGTTCGACCGTCGAGCGACCGGCGACCAGGCTGGAAGAGGATGACCTCGACTTCGACGCAATGCCCATGGCAACCCGGCGTGACATGAGCAAGAACGACATGTCTGGGGTTTCCAACTGATTGAGATAGACTTTTCTTTTAGGTGTCTGTCTCAGGCCACAAACCTTTTGTAGTCCAATTGGATCAGAATAAGACTTCCATGGATGTCGATTCTTTCTCAGTTTGAGATGTTTGTGAAGGTAGTACAGTACATGGTCCATCATGGTCCCAGGAACGAGGTCCGAGCGAGTCTTCACGTTCCTTTCTATCCATTTGGACTCCTTTGTGCTAAGTTAGTGTGGCCCAAAAAGTAGCACTTGACCTCCTGACCCGGTTAAAACATTAAAACAGTTTAAACCGCCTTGTTTTCAATGGCAAAAAACAAGCAAACAACTACGAGTATACAGTATACTGTATACTATACAGTACAGTGTATATGTGTATAATATATATATAATTACAAATATATATATATATATATAGAGAGAGAGAAGCTCAAATGGTCCTTTGCAATAACTCCGTCAGTCTGCATGATCTGCTGATTTGGTCCCCCAGGACGAGCTCATTGACTTGGCTGGCCCCGCCGCGCGCTTCGTGGCTGCGGCGAAACGCCGATCGAAGGCGTCGGCGTCTAACGCCGAGGTGTCGGGGTCTAACGCCAGGGGCTACGGACGTAGCAATGGCCTCCAACCTAAGAGCCATGGCCTCCAACCTGGTAGCTTCTTGTTACTTGTAGCGATTAAAGACATACTAAAAAAATCATTGTTCCTAGATGTTCCTAGTAAGATGCTTGGATATATTTGGATATTTGGTGTAATATCCGTTGGGGCACTGGAGGATTTGCATCGATTTTTGTGAGTTGAGCAGGTATGGCCGACCATAGGGGGTGCAAAAGATCAGGTACGGGTAGCAGTTTTCGGGGTACTCGGTTGGATGGTGCCACGGTCCCTTGTCACACGTGTTATATTCATCTAAGATTTGTTAACTTTAAGATTTGCACTAGTCAGAGACACTCCAGAAGTTGATGATAGCACTTGCACAACCAATTCTTTGAAGCCGAGTGGATGGACTTGCTTCCATGGCCAGGTGCCAATCGAAGTGAGCAAGGAAGTCCAAAAGGCCAGGGAGGGTTCAGCAGATAACTCTGCTCAGAGCGGTTTCCTGCTGGCACAGGCCAGTGGTCTTTTTGTCCAAAGTGACCAGTACGGTACACCAAACCTAATAGATCCTAATAGGTATTTTTGTTGAGACTCACCCAAACACTCCATCCCTACATGTTGAGGGGGCCCCGACACTTGTCCTCCTTGTCGACGTCCCCACCGATGGACGTCACGGATCCGGCGTCCGCGGTCGTCCAGCACTGTGCCAATGTCAAGGTCTCCAGTGTGGTGTCAAACGTTGAAAAGTTAAAGCTGATGGAGTCGTAGCATTTCCCGTAAACAATGAAACATCGACAACATCGACAACATGCACAAACTGCTCAAAGGCTGTTGATTCGGGACCCCAAAATTATATAATTTGTGTTAATTTGTGTAGAAATGACTGTAACTGTAACTATCAATTTTGTCAAGGGCTCCTATGCGTTGTTTTTGATAATTACACATCTTCAGGAAGTTGGTATGGCCTGGCGAACACCTGCAGGTTGACTTGTATGGGAAGCCAAAAGATTGGGCGCAGTGTTCTTTAACAGAAAACACCTCGGGATACCTCGGGTCCTCCCCTATGTCGTTGCTCTTCACCTGTCGCGAACGCACGGCCTCGGAGCACCGCCGTCGCACCGTTCGCACCGCCGTCAGGAGCAGCGTGCAGCGCCTGCAAAGGTGGGCAAAATCGTTCGCGTCACGTGTTGGCAGCGCTGGACTTCGTGGGCGAACGACAGTTTGGTGGCGACATGAGAGCACGGTCCAGCAGTGTGATTTACAGGAATCGAGGTGAAATGGGCACAGCTCTTGGTCTCAAGAGCTATATGCAGTATCAACCCAATGCAAATTTGATGCTCAATCTCCAATGGTACCGTCAGTTTGTAAAATCGAACTACTGAATTACTATGAGACGGGGCAACCCTTGCTCAGTTGAGATGAAGTGACTGTCCAACTGGAGGCCAAGAAGTCGTGGGCGGATATGATGGAAGAGGATGCCTGTTCGGGAGCACAAGAACATAGGAGCAGGTGACCGCAGCTCATTCCAGATGCTTTGTATGACTCCGCCCCTGAATGAGTTTACTTCAAGGTTGTCAAAACTGTTGGGCAGATGGAATTTCAGGTTGGATTCTTGGTTGACTTGGATGGCTTTCGCTGGGTTCAGACCGGAAAAGCTCCAGAACTTTCTCCCTGCACCACTGCACCACCAGTGAGAGGAAGAGTTCCATGGGCGCTCTCTTCAGGAGCTTGCTTCAAGGATGTTAGTAATTAGTACCTACGAGAGTGCCAAGCTGCACGAAATAGTACCTGACCGCCAGACTCAATCGCTGTTTTGCTGAGTCTCACCCAGTGATATGACCAGCGATATCCGGATAGACAAGTTTCCAACATTCATCATTAGCAGCCCCAAGAGACAGCTGCCTCTCGCCATCTCTTGTCTCTGCCGTAGACCGTGATTCGAAGTCTACGTTTGGCCCCGTGACCCTGTCCGTACGACGCTGTCCGTCGACCCCGGACTTTTAGTCTCCACTCTCCCTGTGGAGACTTCAAGACCCAGATGGCCTCCACCTAATAGCCTCCTTGCTACGAGTAACTAGTAGCGTCCTTGTTCCTAGTTACTAGCAATGCCAGGAGCGCCCCTAGTAGCGTCCTTGCTACTACTAGTAATGCCCTTTGCTCCTAGTAGTTTCTTGTTCCTAGTGTTGTTTTGCTGCACAAGGACAACTTTGACTGGATGCCTGCAGCAGAGGCGACCGATCGGGAGATCGGTACATGCGGGAGATGAACGTGGAAGCGGCTGATGCAGATGAATATGTAACTGTAATTGCAAGACTTGCCGTTGTATTGTTATACATATACACACAAAACATCCAGATAGATGCAGATGTATACACAGTGGTAGTACATATGAAAGTCGCACCATTGACAAATTGACCTTGCGGTCAGGCTGCCATGACTCTCAGATGCAAATAGAGAGTTTTCTATTGGAATATATTAGAATGAGATGCCTACTGCGCAAGCGACCGTTCACCATGTAACTCCAACATTTTTACTCGTCAACGTTTTCGCGACTTGTTTTCTTTTTGTTTCATGACTTGGCACAACTACCTGCTTGTTTTCTGTTAAACGCCGATGTATATGTGAGACATTTGCCCATCAGAAAAAGAAAGATGGCTCGTCACGTCTGGCCGAGCTAGACGCCACCCGAGGAAGTCGGACAAGTCCAGTTTCAGCACGGCCGCCCCAAGCGAGAAGTGGCAACTCGTCCATGTTCCGTCCGAGTGGCTACTCGTTTTGGCCCAGAAGCAGGTTAGCCCGGCATCGTTCGCATCGATCACCGGAGCCCACCTGCGGAAGATTTCGACAGCCGAGCCCCTTTCGGAACTTTTCTTCATCCGGATGAGATCTATAGGTCTAGATTGATGCCCGTGGGCTTGTCCGTTTGCACATCATTTGCAAGACCGCAAAAATGCGAGAACCTGCAGCCACTACCCACATTGAATGAG